TGGTGCTGGGAAAACTGGATAGCTACATGCAGAAGACTGAAACTAGACCCCTACCTCTCACCTCTCCCAAGCAAATTTTTGAAATCTAGACTTCTCGAAGAAGTATATCTTTTTATATGCTAATGAAGGAACTTACGACGTCACATACGCATAGCAGTTTTACGTTATTTTGGATGATCGTTCTCATGTGTAGTTTAGTAAATCATCCTTAAGAGGCTTCTGTGCTTATTTACAATTTCAGGCTCTGTGTACTCCGACTCTATTTTATCTTTTCTGTATTTAGGAAACTCATGGGGAAAAAATGCAAAATATGATCATTGACTCAGCTTTCTCCTCTTTATTTTACAAATGCATCCCCCCCCACCCGACATGTGCAGAGAGAAGTCCCTGGGACTGAGATCCACACTTGGAAACCTGTGGACTTTGATCTAGCCGAGCTCTCGCCCAGCTCCCTCCTGCCTTCTCTTAACCTTTCCATTCTTCTTCAGCACACTGCGCCACTCTCCTCTTCCATAAACTTAGCTTTCCTTTCCCCTCTTCACTGCCTTGCCCCAGCTTGTCCTGTACTAATCTCCCTTTCCTTCTTTAAATAAGTTGATTTTGATATGTTCTTTTTTTTCCCAAAATATTAAGGGGGTAAATGTATTTTTGTTGCATGGATGAATTGTATAATGCTGAAGGCAGGGCTTTTAGTGTGCCCATCACCAGAATAATGCACATATATCCAATAGGTAAGTTTTTATCCCTCATTGCCTCCCACCCTCTTCCCTTCTTAGTTTCCAATGTTCTCTACACCACTCGGTGCCCCTGTGTACCCATTGTTTAGCTTCCACGTGTTAGTGAGAACATGTGGTGTTTGCTTTTCCATTCCTGAGATACTTCACTTAGGATAATGGTCTCTAGTTTCATCCAAGTTGCTGCAAAAGACATTATCTCGTTCCTTTTTATGGCTGAGTAGTACTCTATTGTACTAATTTGCAGTCCCACCAACAATTCCTTTTGCACTGCATCCATCATCAGGGAAATGCAAACTAAAAACCTCAATGAGGAACCACCTTACTTCTGTCAGAATGGCCATTATTAAAAAAAAATAAAAAAACAATAAATGTTGGTATGGATGTGGTGAAAAGGGAATGCTTATACACTGTTGGTGGGGCTGTAAATTAGTACAACCTCTATGGAAAATAGTGTGGAGATTCCTGAAAGGAATAAATGTAGACCTACCATTTGATCCAGCAACCACACTAGTGGATATCTACCCAAAGGAAAAGAAGTTGTTACATCGAACAGACACCTGTACCCAGATGTTTATTGCAGCACAGTTCACAAAAGCAAGGATACAGAATCAACCTAAGTGCCCATACACTGATGAGAGGATAAAGAAAATGTGGTGTATATACACCATGGAGGACTACTCAGCCATAAAAAGGAATGAAATAATGTCATTTGTAGAAACTTGCTTAGAACTGGAGACAATTATCCTAAGTGACATATCTCAGGAATGGAAAACCAAACACCACATGTTCTCACTAATAAGTGGGAGCTAAACGATGGGTACACAGGGGCACAAAGTAGTATAAAGGACATTGGAAACTAAGAAGGGGGGAGGGTGGAAGAGGCGTAAGGTATAAAAACTTACCTTTTGGGAATAATGAACACTATTCTGGTGAGGGGAATACTAAAAGCCCTGACTTCAGCATTATACAACTCATCCATGTAACAAAAACACTTCTACCCACTTAATGTTTTGAAGTGGTGGCTCAATGCCTGTAATCCAAGCACTTTGGGAGGCCAAAGTAGGAGGATCGGTTGAGCCCAGGAGTTTGAGACCTGCCTGGGCAACATAATGAGACCCAATCTCTACATTCTAAAAAATAATAAATAAATAAATTTTGATATATTCTTAACGGGAGAAAGATATTTATTTATCACTTTCCTTCCTTTGTTTATTTCTACTGAATATGTGCTTTATAAAAGTCTCCGTCTGAATTTTCTCTTTTTTAGATAACTTCACAAAATTCTCTTCTCTATCCAACTTTTTTTTCTTCCCTTCCCTTGTCACCATTTCCAGAATCTAAGAGTGGAGTCTTTGGGGTCCCCCTCAGAGCCTTGGACCGTTTCAGCTTCTCTGGAAGGGACATCAGATTCAGTGCTAAAAGGTAGGTATCTGTGACTTTTAGGTGCCATTACTATTTTATGTGCAGAGAAAAGGTTTGCACCATTAGGAATTCATAGCAAAGTTGGTAATCCCCAATTATTTTGGAAAGAATCTCTTTCATCTCCAGTCCACAGTGCTAGTGTCTGTGAAAAGGAAAATTGTAAATATTTAAGGCACCACCTTCTCTTCGTTTTAAGGCATTAGAACCTTAGGATTTTCATTTTAAGGCAATAGAAACAAGAGATTCTGGCTTACGTTTTTATAGTTTGTGTCCCAGAGAATCAAAAGCACATCCTTTCTCTTCTCTGTCCACCTCCGACCCACCCCATAAATTATTAACCTTTGTTCCTACCAGGAGCCTTCTCCTAATTGTGTGCAGTCAAGGAGGCCATCTCCCAACACATAGGTCTTGCCTGAGAGCTCAAACTCTTCATGCACAGGAGTTTCCTCTCTGCACGATCGTGGGCACACCTGGGATTCTTCTTCCGGTTGTGGGTAGGATTGGGTATTTCCTTCTCGTTGGAAGGAGTACCAATCATGCATAATCACAGTTCAATTCTGGGGCTTCACCCTGCTGTGAAGAGAAATTCGTTTTATATCAACCTGATATAATCAAGAAGAGGATGGTCCAGTGGGATATTCTAAAATTATCTCCTGTATTTGGATAGTGGGCTAGAGATGATCACAGTCTGAAAAAGTGGATCTGTTAAATTCCTTTAATCCCTCTAACTCATTTCAATGAGAACATTTTAAAAAGTGTCTCAAGAATTCAAACTGATTAAAAGTGATTTTTTAAGATAAAGCAT